GTTGAAAGTCACAAAGACACAGATTACAGAAGCAGTGGATCATCACGTAAAAACGTTTGTTCTTTGTCCAAATTACCTCTAGCTTGGATGGTAGAGTTCACGTAATATACGCTTTGTATTTTTTTTTTTAAGATTTTATTGGGGAATTGGGGGAGGGGAACAGACAAGTTGCTGTCCTTTTGTTCTTCAGTCTAGTTGTGGAGGACTTCGCTTCACTGGCCCATGTTGGTATTGTGATCATTGCGCTCTTCCCAGGAGAGGCAGTTGGTCACTGGTCATTGGACGGCTGCTCATGGCAGCTCACAAATGCTCACGCCAGCTGCCGGCCAGCCCCACTGCAGCCCACGCCGTTGCCAGCAACTCAAGGCAACCCAGCTACAGATCGAGCTGTTGTTCACCATCTTAGTTGTAGAGGGCGCAGCGTCACTGGCCCGCATGTGGGATCCGAACCGGGGCCCTGCTGCTCAGAGCTAGCATCCCAAGCCAGCTTTTAACCAACGCGCCACTCGGCTGGCCCCAATTTAGCCTTCTTAATCCCTTCACCTTTCTCACCCAGCCCTTCACCCCCTTCCATCTGACAACCATCAGTTTGTTCTCTGTATCTGAATCTGTTTCTGTTTTTGTTTATTTTGTTCTTTAGATTCCACATATAAGTGAGATCATATGGTATTTATCTCTCTCTGCCTGACTTCTTTCACTCAGCATAATACCCGTAGGTCCACCCAGTCACCGTTTCTTGTATGTGGTCGACAGTGGCTTACAGCAGTCTCCTCTGGTGACTCCTGATGTTGCCTTTCCCAAATTCAGGCCTCAAATCCAGAATCTGAAAAACCAACAACATGTCTTAACCCTCACCTGTCTTTGGGGTTCCCTAGATAGCTGCAGGCAACACATAAAACGGGGGCTGACAGGTAGCCGAGCACGCTTGTTATACCATGTCTACGACCTCATCACAAGTGTGAAAGCTCCCCAGTTTATGAAGAAAGTCAAATAAGAAGGAAATGTCCAACCCTGTTCCGAATCCACCCTTTAACCCTTGATCTAGCAAGATTTGGTGGGGTGGGGAGGAAGCACCCGGAAAGGGCCCTCAGAGTCCCCAAGTGGGTCTGCAAGCTTTTAGCATCGATGTGAAGCTGATGATCCTGGGAACACTTATAGTTCTGTGGGATAATGAAAGCTGTTCGTGACTTATCCAGAAAACCACTTGGGACGGCTGTGTTAGGGGTGAGCTGCTGTGCCCAAGGCCTCTGCATTCTCTCTCATTTGTGTCGTCTGCAGCGGGACAGAACCCACGGGGAGTTTGATGGTGGCTCAGCACCCCCAACCCGGATAGCAGAGGAGCCCCCAGTTAACCCCCAGGGGCTAGTCTGCAGGTGACCCCTGGGGATGTGGGGATGCGAGGGAGATAACACTTAGAGCTGGGAGGGGGCTGTGTGTCATGGGCATGACGCCACTGACCCCCGAGCCCCCCCCCCCCCCGTGTTTTGTCCCCGTCATGATGCGGGGACAGCTGGGCTGCTTGCTCTGCAGCATAGGTGCCCCAAGGAGGCAGGAACTTGACAGCGGGTGCAGGGGACTGGACAAGCCTGTCCCTTTTCTGTCGGATAAACCAAATTTGGATAATTAATTGGATAAACTGAATTTGTAACCATAACCATGCTGGGAATGTCACATTTAAAGGTAAATCTCCAGGGTCAGGCACAGGAGGACGCAGGCCGCAGGGGAAGCAGCACTCTGTGCTTTGTGCCCATCTGCCCTCCTTGCATCAATGCAGTTCCAAGGAAACCCCAGGGGACTGTGTGGCGGCACCTTCTGCCCACAGCATGCGCTGCTGCCCGCAGCCAGTCCTGAGCCCAGACACCAGTCTGTTCTCCTTGGGAAACTGGTGGCCTTGGCCTTTTTAAGTCCTGCCCTTGCTCCATTCTGGCAGACAGCTGTATCGATCTTTTATGGTGGCACCTCAAATCGCCACAAATTTAGCAGCTTAACGCAGCACATTTGCTATTGCACAGCTTCCGCTCAGGGTCATGCCCTCACCGGCACTTTGGGGTGGCCTCATCCTGCCTTGTAGGACTGCGGTCCAGGTTCAGGTTCTCGTTGGCTGTCAGCTGGGTCTTGCCACCTGGTCCCCTCCACAGGCCCTTTCATAGCACGCATGGCCAGGCCAGCGGGAGAGGCTGATGAGAGCTGGCTATTAAGGGGACTGTGAATCAGGGAGTGGCATCCTAGCACCTTTGTCGTGTGGGTGCGAATCAGTATCCCACCTAGTCAGCACTCCTGCCCACGCTCAGGGAAGGACACGGGGTGTGGATGCAGTGGCCAGAGCCCTAGAAGCCCGCCACCTGGGCCTTGGAGGGCTGTCTTCCTTGGACGTTCTGTAGGTCCGGACAGCTCTGCACTAACCATCTTGGCATTTCCTGTGTCAGCAGACCACAGGGAGGCCCCGCCCTGTGTTATTCTCCTGGCAGCACTTGTCACAGTGCATACGTAAAACGACCTTAGCAGGGTGGGAGGCTGGCATCTGTCTCAGTGCTGACTCCCCCTGCCTGGCACACAGTAGGTGCTCAGCAAGTGTTTGCTGAATGCTGTGACAGCAGGTGTGAGCACGTGTGTGTGTTTGTGGTTTTTCCTCCCAATGAGCTGGCAGCCTGGAATGTCCGAGTCCTCAGGAACAGGAGCCAGAGTCTGTTGCTCACCAGGGTTTGCGGGCTGACCCCCCTGTTCAGCCATGTGTCCATGGAGAGGGGAGGTGGGCCCAGCGCTCCAGTGTGACTTGGGGGCTTGGCCAGGGTTCAGGGTGGGACCACACTGACGTGAGTGGCTTTGTATTGTCCAGATCTATTGTCTTCCCAGAGGTGCAAGGTGGGGCTGGGAACTGAGTGGCCCACAGGCACTTGAGGGGGACTCAGGCCCGGGCTTTGGGAGGGGCAGCCCAGGGCGCCTGCTGGGCCTCTGCTCTCATCTGTGGTCATTTCCTGCCGAGGACTGGCGGGAGCAGCAGCCTTTTCTGCTCATGTTGGCTCCTCTGGCCTTGAGCACAGAACAGGATGGGGCAGAGGACAGGGGTTGCAGCCCTGCACTTGTCTGGCCATCCTTGCCCGGTGGTGTGGGGGGGGGTCAGCTTGCCCTCAGTGGCGCCCCCCCTCAAGACTTCTGCATCGGGCTGAGGTGAAATCTGGGTCTCTAGCAGGAGGGCCCTGTGGGACCTCAGCATAGAGAGCCTGAGGCCAGGGACCTGCTGGGAGTTTAGGTGTGGACCAGGTGTCCCCAGGCACCTAGCTCGGGGCTGGGAGCTGACTGGGTCCTCTTCCAGACCGAGGGGTCAACCCTGGGCCATCCTGCCTCCCTACAGCACGGCTTGGATGTCTTCCCTCCATGGAGGAGAGACAGCGGCAGACAGAGGCGGGAACAGAGGACAGAGATGGAGAGACAGACTCCAGCGGCGGGGGCGCAGAGGGGCGGGGGCCGGGAGGGCGGCCACCAGCCCTAATATAAACCAGTTAGAAAAACAGGCTGGGAGGCCAGGCCCCAAGGCTTGCCAGGGAGGCTTGTTTTTCCAGAATGAAAGGCCCAGGGAGGAGCTGGGGGAGGGGAAGGGAGCGGGTTCTTATTCCAGTTTGGAAAATGGGCTCCACCCATCAGGGCCCGGATCCTGTTGAGGAAACCGTTAGGTCAGGATGGGGGGGAGGGGGGCTCCATGTCGTCACCCCTTGTCCCTCTTGGGGCAGCAGCAGCGTTGGCCTCCTCCCCAGCCCAGAGCTGGGCTGGGCTGCTCACTTGTCTGAGGACTTGGGGACCAGAGTGGGGTTCAAGGGTGAGACCCCAGCCGGCCAGGGCCTGGGGCTTGTGGCCATATTCGACCCAAACGGGCAGCCTAAAAAATGCACTGTGGGTTTTTGTGGTTGTTTGGATTTTTTTGAGGTTTGCTTAACTAGAAGGAGTGGGTTTGGTACACAGTGCCTTCTCTGTTATTTTGCATTTGTTTATGTGACTTTGTAAGTTTTCCCAGAGTTTCAAATTTGTGCTTTCTGAGAGGGTGATACTATACCCCCCTCTTTCTTCCCCTCTGGGTGGGAGGGGTGCTCCCAGATCCCTGTAACTAGGTCTGAGTGGGTGGGGGTGCTCCCAGGAGCACTCTATCCGGGTCTGGGTGGGTGTGGGGGTGCTCCCAGGAGCACTATATCCGGGTCTGGGTGGGTGGAGGTGCTCCTAAGAGTAGTGTAACTGCAGGTTTGGTTTCAGGGATGCCAAGCTGTGGCCTTGATGGCAGGCAGATGTTGGGGGGCAGGCCAGAGAGGTGGGGGTTGCTTACCCACTGGCCCCTTTCAGGGCTCAGGGTCCCCCTCATCTCCTTAGCGCCTGTGGATGTTAAAGATACTAGTATGCAGCAGTGCCCTTCATGCTGTCTTCAGGGTCCCCAGAGCTGGTGTCACTCTGACCCCCATTTCACAGGTGAAGAAATGCAGCCCCTGAGAAGGGCACACCAGGGTCATTGCACTGACGCGAAGAGCCAGTGGTCTGCCAGCCTGGTTCCTTGGGGTTCCCTTAGGATGCCTTTCTGCTGGTCTTCAGCTCCACAGCAGGCAGAGAAGGGAAGACCTGCTGGGCGTTGTGGCCAGACTGCCCACTTAGGGGAATGCCCTGGGACAGTGTCCTCCTACAGAGATGGGTGAGGGGATGCTCTTCCCAGAACCCCAGCTCCACAGCAACCGCAGAAGGGCCCATATGTTCCAGATGCCCACATGGCATCTGGGCCCATGCCCTCAGGTCCTCCTGCTCTCCGAAGGCTGGGCTATTGCCCCCTCTCCAGGACGGGAGGCAGAGAGGGGTCCAGTCCTCACTCAAACTCAACTGTTTGGGACACAGTGGTCACAGCCCTCCTCCTCCCCACCAGGCCAGCCAAGGATGGGGGGAGGCCAAGGGGCCGGCCGGGCAGGAGCCGAGGGGGCGGTCTGCAGACTGTCGACCAGCCCAGGGCTCCGTGATGTCATGGCGGGTGCTAAGGAGGGGGAGGGGGCTGGCTGTTTTTCTGGAGAGTTAGAGCTGGAGTGAGACAAAGCAAGGCCGGCGGGCTGGGCTGGCGGGCGCCATGGAGCTGCGGTCCCAAGTCCTGCTCTGGAAACTTCTGCTTCTGCAGAGTGAGTTGTGGTGGGGCGGGGGCGGGAGGCGCAAGCCGCAAGTGGGTCCAAGTGAGCTTGCATTTTAGGCAAATCCGCCTGTCTGAGCTGAGCCCAGAGGGGTGGGATGCCCCCGCTGGGAAGGGGATGGCTCTGGGGGGCCTCAGAGGGCACAGCTCAGGATGAGCTCTGGGGCCCCCAGGACCCAGGAGGCTGTGAGTTTTGCAGATATCCTCCAGAGCCAGGGGCCAAGAAGGCCAAGCTGAGGCAGGGTTACTGGAGTCCATCATGCACCCCACTGCTCCGGGAAGTCCCTCAGACCTGCACTTCTCCAAGTTGTCAGGAGGGAAGTAGGTTGTGGGTTGTGGGGGGCCTGGGAACTGTGAGGCCCAGCAGGGTCTGTTTCAGTTTCCTCTGGCGCCCAGGCCCCTGAGCCCGCCCCCAGGACTGGCCTGCTGACCCGGCACATTCCTTCTGCCCTGGGCACTCAGCCACATCTCTGGAGCAGGAACTTGGCTTGTGGGGTGGCAGATGGTGGGCTCATCCCCCACATCCAGCTTTCTTGTGCTTCAGACTGACAGGGCTCTAGCCCTGAGCACTGGGGTGGAGTGGGGCTCCTGCAGGCTGAGGACCCTCAAGGGTTCAGGTGGGGTGGCCCTCAGCAGGTGCGTTCCACACGGGGGATCCCCGTGCAGGAGCCCCCGCAACCAGCCTCCCTCGGGCATCAGGCTCTGGTGGCCTTGCTGCAGTGATGGTGATGGTGGCTACCATTCCTGAGGCTGGCCTTTGGTGACAAGCGTGCCCCCCAGAGCCGCCTGTCGGGGGCTCCAACCTTGGCCCCACCACTCACCTCCAGAAGGACAGGCACTGTCCCTGCAGCCCAGCAGGTGGCTGTGAGGATTAAGTGGGAGGTGCCTGTGCCATGTGAGGCTAAGGGAGACTCCACTTGTATTCTCCTGGCTTCTCTGGCTTTACCTCCACCCATTAAGCGGGTGTCATTAGCACCCACTTCGGGGAGGACTATGTAAGGGAGTAGGGGGCCAAGCCCTTCCCCCGCGTGGGTGACCCGGATGCAAAGGCTCCAATGGCCCCCTCCCCAGTGTGACTCACTCTTCCTCTCCTTCTAGGCTCTGCTGTCCTTCTATCTTCAGGTTAGTGAGCACCCTCCCCTTAGAACCACGACAGATCCCTTCCCACCTGGCCAGCCCACCCTGTACCTGACCCCTTGGGTCCCACCCATCCCCCAGTGATTCCCCTCCCCACCAGGGCCATCTGGGTCCTCAACAGCGGGCAGCTCCGTGGTGTCCGAGTCCGCAGTGAGCTGGGCGGCTGGAGCCCGGGCCGTGCTGCGCTGCCAGAGCCCGCGCATGGTATGGACCCAAGACCGGCTGCACGACCGCCAGCGCGTGGTGCACTGGGACCTCAGCGGTGGCCCCGCCGGCGGGCCCGCGCGTCGACTTGTAGACATGTACTCAGCGGGCGAGCAGCGCGTGTACGAGCCGCGCGACCGCGGCCGCCTCCTGCTGTCGCCCTCCGCCTTCCACGACGGCAACTTCTCTCTGCTCATCCGCGGTATGGGACCTTGAACCGCGGTGGGGGCTTGGGGGCTGGGGCGGCGGCCGCGGAGCTCATGGTTGGTTTCCTCGCGGGTGCGCAGCGGTGGGGGAGACAGACGGGGGTCTGTACACCTGTAACCTGCACCACCATTACTGCCACCTCTACGAGACCCAGGCCATCCGCCTGGAGGTCACTGATAACCGTAAGTGTGCCCCCACCCTCGGGACCTCACCCCCGCCTGACCTCACCTACCCCCGCCACCGTGGACGCCCCCCTCCTGACTCCCTCCCCC